TAAGGAGAGAAAAAGTAATGTCCATTGTTTTACTTGGCTTATTTTTTTTCTAATACAAACATGATGTTAGAGTACAAACACTATTAATGATTATATGTAGAAGTAAAATTAGATGTTAGGTTTCGTTTTTAACGTGTCAATTGCAGGGAGAAAAAAAAAACCCAAAGAAGTCGCGATTTAAAAAAAAAGATATGAATACATAGTGGAAAAGTGAAAACATACGTATTTTCGAAATCTTCAAACATGTTTGTTGAGTGAAGCTTTTTCAGTCTCATCAATGGAGAAAGGAGAAGAAATACTTGTGAATGAATGATCACCACCACCAACTTTTCCTTTCTTGTAATGCTTTTCTATCAACCATATGAAAAACGACGGAAAATATAAACACGCCTCGTCGGTGGACGGTATGTACACATGGCAAACACCCACCACTTTCCGTATTATAAATTCTCACTAATTAATGGGCTCTCCTATTAATTTTTTTATTAGTGTAAGATAAATACATGGTAATATCTATTTAAAGATAACTTTTAATCTTTTAATATTAAATATTTATACTTTTAATATCTATGATGTTCGAATCCGGTTCCTCAAAGAATAACAACAATTCTTTTACCATGGTGCTACTAATTTTTCGATGTGAATTCGTTTTGTTTCAACGTGTGGTGTGACTGCTCCAAAATATTTATCACGTAATTATGATAAGCATATATCAGTCTTTACCTTTTTGGTCCCCTCCCACTATAGAATCTAATTTATTAAAGTAAAATCTCATAAAATTGCACTAAATCGAACACCACACCCATAATTTGGTCCCAAAAGAACTGAAGATGAATGTCGTTTTTGTTGCAGCATTTAGATTGTTGTTCTACCGACAACAATTTTATGACAATTGTGGAGCAACAATGTGTTTAAAAAGTTTCGAGTGTGGAATTTATGAAGAAACTTTAATGGTAAAAGGAAATGTTGATCTTTCAAGAGATCATAGATTTAAGCAACGATATTTATAGATTGTATATATATTATTAAAAAATTAAAAAAATTATGAATATATATTATTTTATAATCACATTAAACTATTAAAAAAAAATTTAGAGTGTGTACAACAAAACAACAATCGAATGGCCTACAGTAGCAACCGCTGACAACAAGGATTCACGTTCCCATAGTAAAATGAACAAGTTTAACTACTTTGGTTACTTTCGGTGTTTGATCTCGGTGGAAATGATAAGAAACCTTCTTCATTACTACAATATTGGCATAGAAAGTCTAAATAATTAATTATATCAACATGGACGACATTAGAATGAGAATTGCTATTAATTATAAGGTAAAGTACATTCATGATCATTTAATTAATTTTTTTAAGTATCTCGCCACTTTTTTCATTAATTATTAATGATTAATAACTTGATTAATATCACTTAGATAATTTAGTTTGCACGAACCAAGTTATATCAATAATTAGAGAGGTGGTTGTTATCCTTAGAGGTCTTAGATTCAAGTACCAACGATTGAAGAGAATTTAAGCGTTCACTATCAATTAGTTGAGAGTGTTTAAAACAAACATTGTCACTTGTAATCAACCTAGATTAACAAAAAAAAAATTAATTTGTATAAAAATTTAAAAATAAACAATCAAATGAAAATGTGTACATAATTAATAATGACAAGTGTAGTTTATCCTTAATAATATCAACAAGTTTATTCATTTTTTATAATATATATAACGCGTATATTTTATTCGAAATTCGTCATAATTGAGAATTGCTAGACACAAACCGGAGGGAGTGCTGTTTGACTGCAACTTATTATGTCCATAATTTCAAGGTTTCAATGAGAAAACTCAATATTCCAAATTCAAACTTTTACTGTGCCCACAAGACAGGAAATTTTTGCTTTAGCTTAAACTCCATAATCTGTTTTTATCAAATATATACTCTAAATTTCAGTTAAAAGTTTTGAAATGTACGAACTAAGTGGCATTCGTAATAAATGAATTATTGTTATTGTTTTAGAATTTGGATGTGAGTACTATCAATATCAAAGATGTGAGCGTTCAATGTCAAAAGATTAAGAGTTATCTTTGAACATATACTACATTTTACTTATCCCAGATTAATAAAAAAAAGTTTTAAAAAATAAATAAATATGTTTGAAGGGTCTAAATTATCTTTAGACAAATTCAAAAAGTAAAAACAAAAGACTAGAATATTTCAATTCCAAAAACATGGAGCATTAATCTAAACTTTGGAGCCATATAGTTTATTCCGGCATGTGTAAAGGAAAAAGGAAATCAATAAGTTATATAAATATATATTTGTATGAGACTCAGTATTTTATAATTACAAGGATTTTTATTATATTAAATAAATAGGATTATATTTTAAATGAGATTTTTTTTACATGAATTGCAAATATTTTTATTTATCTGTTTAAATATGATATCTGTAAAAAAATTTAATATCTTAAATTACATTAATGTGAAGTTTAATATTATAAATTCGGTAAAAAAATGTCTAAACCTCCTTAGTTAATATTAGTTCAATTCTCTACTTTGCTTTTTTTTTTAATTAATCAGATAGCTATATTCCTCTTAATTGTTAAGTTAATAATATTCACTCCACTTCCATAAAAAAGATATTGTTCATTTTATGCTTAAAGAAAAAAAATTTAAAAATCATAATATTTAATACAATGGATATGTGACCTTATATTTTTCTATTTAATATTAAATAGTTCTATGTTTAAAAGAAGAAAAAATTAAAAATTATAACATTCATTTCGTCTATTTTTTATATAATTAATCAATTCTATAAATACATGATTGTAAACATAATCAACTAAAGAGACGAAACTAAACCGATCCTTGAAAAAAGAAAATAAAAATTAACTAAGACAGATTGCAAACTCAATATTTGCATGATTCTGTTTTAATCACTTAACTATATTTTTTCAAAATCATATCTAACGTTATGTTTTAATTTTATTTTGGTCATCCATCATTAAAAAATTAACTATGATAATGATGTGTCATCATAAGCTAATGTCACATTATCATTGAAAAGACATAAAAAGAGCCACATTAGCTTTTTTGTTAATTTTTTAACTGGAGGACGACCAAATAAAATCAAAATATAACGTCAAATATGATTTTTTTTTTTAAAATTAAATGACCTAAACAAAACTCCAAAAACAATGGAGTGACTAAATATGTAGTTTATCATATTTTCTATGCAGAAAGTGTATCTTAGGGGCTGTTTGTTTACTTCAGAATGATTAAGTACTGAATGATTCAAAAGCTGAATGATTCAGAGGCTCTGGAAGAATTAGCTATAAATGTGACACGTTGTTTGTTTACTGGCTCTGAATCATTCAGAATGTACTTCTGTGCTGAATCATTCAGCACTGTTTTGCTGAATCAGTCAGCACTGAATCATTTAAATGTGCGAAACAAACGCGCTGAATGCTGAATGGTTCAGCATTCAGCACTGAATGATTTCATTAAGAGGTAAACAAACAACCCCTTAGTCTTCGTCAAACAACATTACACATTTACAAAAGTCTAAAAAAGGAAATAGATTAGAAATTTTCAATTATTTTTTAATTTATATTTTTCAAAAAAGAATACAACCGACAAGTGAATTTCGTAATCTTAATGTTTAAACTTGGAATTTAAACTCTGATAGATGTAACAAGCTGTACATTTGAGATGGGGGGAACTAGTTTATCTTAAGTTGCATACATTACCTAATTAATTAGTCTTTTACTGGTAAAATAAGAATTTGAATCCAAAGTTACGTTTGTTAAAAAGGGGTTTATTTTACTAGTTTATTCAAGTGGTAAGTAGTTAGATATTCCTTAAGCAATATCTCAAGTTCGAGTTCTTGTGTATACAGAAAATCCATGTTGGAGAACTTACTGACCAAAGTCATATGTGCAACACATATCGATCCAAATTAATCAATGCGAAGCCTTAAAATCGATATGGGTAGAAAAAAAGGGTTACATTATGATCATATGAATCACATTTCTACTTATTTATTTATACATTAACCTTTGATTTCAATCTACCAGTACGTATTTTGATAATAAAAAAAATCTACCCGTACATATCAACAAAAGATTTTTGTTAATACAAAAAAACAAGTAAAATAACTATTCATATTTCAGAGTCTTCATTGACTTATGCAAAGTACAAAAACCACAAAAGTCAAAATATTCTCAACCACACCGACCAAAAATATATTCAGAGCAAAAGGGTAAAAACTGAAAATTAAAATTTTATTAGTCAGCTAATTCGTCACCGTTTTAAACAAAATTATAAGTTTTTGTGTGATTATATGGTAATATTCTTAATTATTTAGTGATAAATGTTCAAATATCCATGTAAACATCGTGTGGGAACTCGATATCTCTAGAGACTAGAGATAACAATCATCTCTTAATCACGAATATCACTTAGTTCGTATAGTAAAAAAAAGTTAACTACACCCATAATCATCAAATTATTAATTAAAAATACATAAATATTCAAAATTAAATTTATTATTAAATCACCTATTTGATAATTATATCATCTTATTAAAATATAATAACGAAAATATCATTTTAAAAGTAAAATAATAATTGTATGGGCAGTTAATCCTTAAAGAAGTCAATCTCTCAGTCAATTTCCTTGATCATAATCGACTTTTCTTTTATTTTTTTAAGAAGAAAACCACATGGTCGATTATTCTTTTTACTTGAACAAATCCATGATGATTTTTTTTCAATTAAACGTTCATATTCATGATTAAGAATAATAATTATTTTATTAGTGATGTTTCTTAGTTAGTGCCCATTATGAATAGTGAAAAAGAAATTGTCAATTTTCAATATTGCCATTGTTATTAGGTTATTCATGTAATTATGAAATACAGTATGGGTATTGGTTGGAAATGTTGGGTCTATATGTACTCATAGATCTTGTTTGCTGGTTTGCAGTTTTAGCAATCGCTTCTCTTTAAATCTTCACTGTTTCTTTCCTAGAGTCGTCTCCATGCAGATGGGCATCAGCTCCACTCTTCCCGCACAAAACTTGCACGTCTTTCAAGCCAAAAGGCCAAGTTTCAAGTGCCGAAGATCACCTCTAAACCCTTTAATAACTCCTCAAAAGCCTCTTGTTTCATCAGCTTCGTCGACTGAGTTGACTCGCCAGCACCTTTCTAACCTCGAGAAAATCCTCCAGAAAACAAACCGGACCGATCCACAGCTAGAGCCGGTGACCAAAGCAGGCGGTAAGGGTTTGCTCAAAGGGCTAAATCTTTCGAGGATTTGGCCTGAAATGAGTGCCGCCGAAGAGATGTCTCCTCGCCATTTGAATAGGCTTAAGAGGCTATTGTCGAAGACCATGGAGTATTCTCCTAGGAACAACCTGGGTTCTCGTTGGAGAGAGTACCACGGTTGCAATGACTGGTCCGGCTTGCTCGACCCGCTCGATGAAAATCTAAGGCGAGAAGTGGTTCGATATGGGGAATTTGTTCAAGCTGCTTACCACGGTTTCCATTCCAATCCCACCACGTCAAAAAATGAAGAGGCTCCGTTGCCGAGACACGTCTCATTGCCTGAACGGTCTTACAAGGTGACTAAGAGCCTCTACACTACCTCGTCGGTCAGGTTGCCGAAATGGGTGGACGACCTTGGGTGGATGACCCAACGGTCTAGTTGGATGGGGTTCGTAGCGGTTTGCGATGAAAAGAGGGAGATTCAACGAATGGGGAGAAGGGATATTGTCATTGCCTTACGAGGAACTGCTACGTGGTTGGAATGGAGGGAGAATTTTAGAGCCCAACTGGTTGAAATCTCTGAATCCGATGACCCGACCCAAAAGGTTGGATGTGGGTTCTTGAGTTTACATAAAACACGTGGTGCTCACGTCCCTAGTTTGGCTGACTCAGTGGTTGAAGAAGTAAAAAGGTTAATCGAGATGTACAAGGGAGAGAAGCTTAGCATTACAATCACGGGACATAGTCTTGGAGCAGCTCTATCTCTTTTAGTTGCTGATGAAATAAGTTCATGTGCGCCTCAAGTGCCACCCATCGCCGTGTTTTCCTTCGGAGGACCCCGAGTAGGTAACCAAGGTTTTGTGGACCGACTTAATAAAAAAAATATTAAAGTATTACGAATCGTGAACAATCAAGATTTGATCACAAAGGTTCCGGGTGTTTTCATTGGAGAAGGAACTGAAGAACAAGTTCAATATAAACATGAAAAAGAAGCAAGAAACGAAAGCTTTGCTAGCGTGTTCAACAGGCTTGGAAACAACAATCCACTGGCATATTCCCACGCCGGAACAGAATTACGAGTTGATACTAAAATGTCGCCTTATTTGAAACCCAACGCTGACGTGGCATGTTGTCATGATTTGGAGGCTTACCTGCATTTGGTGGATGGGTTCTTGTCAATGGATTGTCCCTTTAGGTCAAATGCAAAGCGGAGTTTAGCAAAGTTGATTCATTACCAAAAATCAAATGTAAAACAATTGTATACTCACAAGGCCTTGAGTTTGAACCCTGAAAGACGGGATAGCTTTAGCATCCCAATCACAACTTGTTTGCCTAGTCCCTCTCGATAAGCTAAGCATATCAGTAGCACAAATGTAAAGGGACAAATAAAAGGGGGAAAAGCTTGTGTATAATTGAAATATGGCGTTGAATTATCTCGTCTAGCTTGAAACTGAGTAGTTTATATTGTATGAGTGGATTTATTATTTTTCTTACATATATATGTCACGGGGCTAGACTTAAAATTAGTAAATCGTGAGGTCGTAGGCACCAGAGCATGAGTTGGGTGCCTGAGTTAGCCTTCAACCTGGACAAATAAAGCCTAAAAGTCACTTAAGCGATTTGGACACAATGGATTAAATGTGTGGAAGTAGAATAAGAGAAGACTTTGTAAAGAAAGATGACAAGAGAGACTATAGCCCCCCAAATTTCGAATGTATCTTATTTACTCATTAATCAATCAAGATAATTGAGGTGGGGAAAGCTTATATTTATACTTTGTTAAATGGAAGGGACTTCTTGACTTGGGTCCTAGTTTAGGTTCAAAAATCAGATAGACCAATATCACTCTAGTTGCACAGAGTGTCACTAGATTTATCAGGGGAGAATGTCACGGATCATGTGCTCACGACCAGGACCAGTATGAGCTGACCAGTCATGACGCCTCCGACACCATCTTAAGCCACCCTAGGATGCCACCAACACTATCTTGGCGACCATAGGAGCCTGAACACCATCTTAAGTCATTTCATCTAAATTGGCTCGTTCCTTGAATATATCCTTTAGAGTAATACAAATAACATTGATGTAATTCAATCTCAATCATTGGATGTAGGGGACTTCAAATATAAATAAAGGCTTATCATCACCTCATTTCGCATTTTAGATTTGAGGAATACAAAGTTAAGCATTCTCTCAATTTCCTTGCTCTTTGAAATGCATCATTTCCTTTTAGAGTTCTTCTTGCTTCCGCATTTTGATCTAAGCTATTTCGCTTGAATTGTTCAGGCTGGCTTAAGCAAAACCATCGAAAAAGTGTCTAATGCCTTACATTTTCTAGTTTGAGATTCTAGAGCAATGAAACAAGGCACTAGCCCGTATGAATGCTTTATTTAGGGAGAGAGATTCATGCACCCACATGGTTCATGCACGTCTAATGAGGAAGTATGGAGTTGAAGAGCCTTGCATTTGTTTGTTAAGCCTATAAATATGTGGCTACTGACATTTTGTAAAACAACTTATTGATTGATAATATATTGGGAGTGTTGACTCTATTTGTTCCTATTTGAACCCAATTTTACTTATTGTTGAATATTGTTAAGTTAAATTGTAATTAGTTAGGAAGTTTTGCAACTACTTGTTAGTTAGTTAGTCTGTTGCTAGAATACTTGGCGTATAAATACTGTTTGTAATCTTACTTGTGATATATGAGAAACTGCCCATTTAATCATTCATTTTCTTGAATTTAACACTTATCAAACTTCTATGTGCCTATGTCTGCATGGGTCTTGGACCTTGATTCGTGTCCCATGGCATTCTCTGCCACTAAATTCAATAATGTCCGTTCAAAATTAACTTGGACAGGGTGATCATGGATCCCCCTCGAGGGCTTAGCCTACTTCCGATGTCTTTGGACGACTTGCCTTGGCATATATAATTATATTAAAAATTTAATCTTCTTTCTTGCTGCCATTGTTTGAACAAATGAGTTTGACGTTTTGCATAAAATAAATACGAGAATGAAACGACTACCCTAAATTGTTAAGAAAGTAGTTGCCATACATTTTTCACACCCCCAAATCTATGAGCCATAGGAGCATCCGATGCAGGCTTACATTACATGTGGCTAACGCATGCAATAATTTTTGACGTGTTTATTTATATATCACAATAAAGAAAATATTTTTAAATCGATATTTATTAATAAAAGCACGCCATGTCTTCTATCCTACGTGTCAAGAAAGAGTGTTATTTCAAGATTAATCAAGAATGGATTAAGGAAGCAATTTTTTGCTTTACCAAAAATAAAATAAATAGAAATTGAATTTTGTCGTGGTAGGACCAAAAAAAAAACTTGTTCATACGCTAAATAGTCCTAAAGTCATCATCATCAAATTAAAAAAAATAAAAAATAGTTTGAAGTAATGTCGGCAAGTCATAAAATTATTTTATTTAACTTTTAATAATAATTATTAATATAATATATGTTTATAATTTTTCTTGATAATTGACAATACATACACATCCTTCCGGCGTTGCTATTTAAACTCGAGATCTTAATAGAAAATAATATTTCTTTTAATCACTAAAATCTATTCATCAAATTAATATTTTTTAGATGCGATGTTAAAATTATTTATAGCCTTCAAATCGTAAGTTATTGAAAACTTGTAATAATAACTGTACCAAATAATATTACTTTAGTTTGGTACATGTGCTTGGAGGAAACGAAAAAGAAAATGCATAACAAAGCTTATTATTAATATTAATATAAAGTTTCCAATGAATATTTGTCAAAGTTCAATCCAAAGGTTGAAAAGGTATACAATATAAATTTCTGATTATATAATTGTTGGAATTAGCATATGAAAAGCTGTATGGTCAAACGAGATACTTTTAGTAAATAAGTTGTTTGTCAAAGCCTAATAAATTGTTTGGAAAGAACAAAAGAGAAAAAAGGTTGAGGATCTATGTAAAGAATAAGATAAAAAATGTCAATAGAATTTATTTTCTGAACTAAATTGTCAATCACATTTCTTCTTGGTTACACGCTTACAGCTAGCAAATACAAATATTTCTTCCTTGAATTTGTCATTTGTCACACTTAAACCAACCCCAACAAATTGTTGAACGTCAAGCTTGGTGAGGTGTTGAAAGCTGGTTGGAGCAGGGTAAATGTTGAAGATCAAGCTTGTGGTGCTGTCGAAGTTAGTTGAAGTCTGTTGGGTTTGTCAGTTGAATCGGGTTTTGCCCAACTAGCCTATGTTGGGTCAAACTCATAGTGTTGACCCGTATAGCTAGAATGGGGCTATATAAATGAGCTTAATAGGTTAGGGCATGTATCATCTTTGGCCTACATTTCTTTGTTTGTTATTTTTCCCTAATGCTTGACAGCAGTAGTACATTTTTTTTAATACGTTTCATCACAAATATCTTACCATTTTTTAAGGTTGAAGCACATTATTTCACTTAATTATCTTCATATAATTGTTTCTGAACAATAATTAAAAATTATAAAATAATTGTTAAATTTATTAAATTATTATACAATATCATTAATTTTAATAAATTATTACAAAATGAACATTAAACTATTAAACTTTTACGGTTATTATAATATTGTAGTGAACATTTTATAATAGTTAATATCATTACTAAATAATGGATGAAATTAATATTCATATATCAATTTAGAAGTAAAATTTAACAACTTAAGATAAGATGTCTAATTCAAGTATTAATTAAAAAACTCATTTAACGACTTAAGAGAAAATATCTAATTTAAGTATAAAATGTATATGTAACCCATTAAATAAGAAAGTTATATATTTCACATGAAAATAACAGTAATATTTTCTGATATAATAAAAAAAACAGACAATCGTCCCATTCCCATCGTAATATTAGACAATTTCATTCATGATGTGTATAATAACAAGAAGGATAAACTACACCTTTAGTATCTAAACTATTACTTTTATTTTGTTTTAGTATCTAAATTTTATTATTTTTCAAAATCATACTCAATGTTTAGATTTTATTTTGGTACCGATCGTTACAAACTTAACGGTGATTTTGATGTCTCATCATAAATTAATTCCATGTCCACTGAACTTTCAGAAAAGCTGTTGAAGTTGTTGAATGCTGATGTTTATGTTTCCTGAGAATAGTCGTAGAAGATGAAAAAGGAAAAGAAAAGAACAAACCCAGATATGGTAATTGGGTGTGTTCCTCTGCAAGCCCAATAACATGTAAACCAATTGAAGGTAGCCCAACGAAAATTACGGTTAAACCCCAAAAGTATATCTCTGAAATTGGATTGGGGAGTCAAAATTTCTTTGTCAAGCAAGTATCCAAAGATGTAAACTTCAAAAATTTCCGAGCTCAACCAGGGAAAAAGAAAAACAAAACTTTCGATGATAACTACTACTAGATTAACTTAGTATGACAATGCACTTACCAAAAATATCCTACTCCCTGTGCCTGTTACATATATTGAACGGCATATCTTATGATGACAAATGACGCAACAAATTACTTTTATTTTATAACGATTATCGAATTCATTAAGTGATCTCAGTGATAAAATGAAAGATATGTTGCTCAGTCGTAAGCTCGTGAACAACTTGAGGAACAGAGGAAGGTGGTGAAGAGGAATCAAGAGAAGAACCGACCATAGCATCCAAATTGATTGTACGAGTAGCTTGAGGACCTTTACGTTGAGTAAATCTGAAATTCGATGGAAATCTTATAAGCCGATAACATTGACCTGGCTTACGGCCCTTGATTTTGCAATAGTAACGCACCCAGGGAACCGACAATGGCAAATAGTTGAAATCCTATAAGAATTCAAAAACAGGGCTCCCAGGGAGCCGAGAATTCATTGGTTTAGTTATATTTTAGGACTCTTCTAATTTTAAAATGAAATTTTGAGTTCCTTAAATTTTATTGTTTATTCAATTTTAAAGATCCTATTTATTTTAAAGCTAAATAACTTATTCCTTATAATTCAATCCTAGCTCTGTCTTGATTATGATCTTATCATAAGTCATTTCGGAGCATATACATGAGCTAAATATTGTCTGTCAAGTTTACCAGAAGATGTCAAAGCTGATAATTTCCAAAGTTTTTCATCCCGTACATAAATGTGGGGGGACAACAGTGTCGCCATGAGAAGTTGTTTTTCGTCTGATTTCATTCCTCATCACGCAGTCGTGGCAAAAAATAAATGAACCACTTTTGGATCCACGCACCTAAACTTGGATTATACAATTTAATTCTGACTTCATTGCGTTTCAGCAGTTTCTGCAGCCCAAAGAAAAATGTGGTTTCAGTTAAGGTGCAAAAAGAAGAGTATAAAAATCATCAGGTCATGACAATTGAATATGCATAATTCAGTTGAGGCCACAGTCCCAAATGTGATCCGTGGTGGACCAATGGTAGGTTCTGGGCTCACCCTCACAGCCTTTTTAAGCCAGAAAAATCCCATTGATTACGTGTCATCAAACCGATGGAAGACACTGGGTCTTATCTGCATTCCAGAATATGTAGGATCAAAAAAAGCTTTGCTAGCTGCCAAAGATGAAGATGAAGGCTGGACAAGCTAGCCTTGGACACAGAAAATATTCATTTTGTATCTCCACACGTTCAAAGCTCACTAAAAATCTTCTGCCCTAGCAACAGCTCAAATCGCAAAAATCAATTTTAGTAAGGCTAAAATACACCAATAATTCTTTGACCATAAGATATTGTTTGAGTCTACAATTATTACAAGTTGCAAAATGGTCCTCTAATTTTAGGGTATTATTTTATTGAGTCTTCTGATTATTAAAAGTTATAATAAAATCATCTAATTATTAATATGTTCTAAACTTATCATTTTTTTGAGCTTAACGTTAACTTGCTAATTAAAATATGATGTTATCATATTTTAATGATGTTTATTCGCACCGTCGTTATTTACTCACTGGCTCGACGACGTAATGTATACGGAAAGTCAATCCACAAAATACAACTCAAACGGTTTTGAGAACATATTTTATCTAGTTCAAGTCCAACTCATATGACCATCATTTTTTAACGAAAACGAATGAGTTTTAAACATATGAATAGTTGGGTGAGAATTTTAAAACTTGTAATAGCCGGGGACTCAACAGAACATAGGCGGATCATTTTGTAACATATAATAATCGGAGGACTTAATAAAGTAGTACCTTATAGTTAGGGGACCATTTGTGTACTTTACTCTTTTACTAATTTTGTTTCCGTTAGAAACAACCTAGTTTCCCTCTTAAACACTATAAAACCCCCTCCATTCACACCAAATTCTCCATCCTTGAAATTACACTACTCTTTAACTTATACTTGAGACAAGAAGCTACTAGGGTTTTGAGAGAGATGGCTCCGAAAACATCAGCATTGCTTGCCCTCTTTTTCGCTCTCAACATTCTCGTCTTCTCTCTAGTCAGTGCTTGTGGTACTTGCCCTTCCCCCAACCCAAAACCAAAGCCCACTCCGTCTGCAAAAGGCAAATGCCCCATAAATACCCTTAAACTAGGTGCATGTGCTAACGCGCTTGGTTTGGTCAATGTGACCGTGGGTTCACCCCCAGTGCAGCCATGCTGCGTGCTCATCAAAAACCTTGCAGACCTTGAAGCTGCCGCTTGCCTCTGCACAGCAATCAAAGGCAAAGTCTTGGGCATCAACCTTAATGTCCCGGTCACCCTCACCCTGCTTCTCAACGTCTGCTCAAAGAAGGTTCCACCTGGCTTCATATGTCCCTAATCAGTGTTGTATCTTCATTCTCCCCTCTGTGTTTTTCGTGGTTTCGAAGTTATTGTTAATTCCCTCTTCGCGTTGCCAACTTCTTGTTTCCTTTATCGCAGTGTTGGTTTCCTTGTGGATTGATATTGTATAATTGTGTACTACTTGTATTTATTCGAGTGTCGGTTTATGTATCTTTCAGAGTTATAGTTAATTTCCAGTTCGTATTGTGAACTTCTTATTTACTTTATTGTAGTACTGGTCTCCTTATCTTTACTGGCAAAGACAACCATCTATAGTTGTTCATGTATTTAGTCTCTCTTAAATCAACAACTTGAAGCTATGTCGTATCATTCTACTTATCGGTAAATAAAATAGGATAAATTATCGGAATGGTAATTTACCTTTTATATTTGGATTCTTTTGCTCATCAAATCCAAAAAATTTATGTTTTGATCACTTACTTTATCGTTTTATTAAGTTTTGATCTGAGACGTTGAATGTCATAAATTTGATGACGGGACACGTTAATAGAAGGGTTTAATTTTTTATTTTAACCCTTGAACTTTAGATAAAATAATTGTAAGAAATGTGTACTACAAAATAGACAAATTAGCACCAATAAATACAAGATTACAAAATAAATAAGTAGAAGATGTTATTGCTTCGTGGTAGTCCATTTCCTTATAAGCGAGCTCGCCCTGACCGCTATAACCGCAAAAACAGATGATCATCCTTCGAGGTTAACATAATACTTTCTAATTCGTACACCTGAAAGAGAAAGTTGGAACTCAGTTGATTGCCCTTTTCTCTAGTGATGAAAGAATAACCTAAAACTGAAATTTTTGCCGAAAACAAAGAACTCAAAAAGAAACTGGTACTAAGAGAAAATGATGAGAGGAGAAGAGCTAAGCAAAAGATTGTTGGATTAGTGAAAAAGAATTAGCAACAACAACCTTTTTATAGGTATGAGGTAAAGGAAAATCTCTTCTCATTTAGCTATAACGACACTTTTAAAAATTAAATTTTAAAATAATATTTTAATTATTTCAATCTAATCACAATTACATATTTAAAATTTAAAATAAAATAATTTAAATTATATATATATATATATATCCTTTTGTACAAATAAAAGAATATATATTAGAAACAAATTTAAAACATATTAATTCGAACGGCCCTTGTATGAGATATATGCATTTGCATTACTCCTAATTTTTCATTAATGCAAATAAGCAATGTTGTTCGAAAAATAAATTCCTTAAAAATGAGAAAAGAGTAATGTGAAATTATTCGCTTAAGTATTAGCGAGTGCATCTGGAATTGATACATAATAAAACGAGCAATTCGTTTATTTAACAAGTGATCGAATTCAAAATTTGTTAAAATAGGAGTCAACTCGTTGCATACAACTAATTTTTTCGGCAACTAAATTTCGCAATAGATCAATAATATGGCAAGTATACATTGGAATGCCGACAAGTGCTCTAGAAAGACAACCCAAAATATTTCATAGAATTTAGCTAATTCTTTACACTTACGTAAGTAATTTCATCAAGTCTAATGAAGAAGAAGAAGTGAGACGAGTTTTTTTTTTAATTGTTAACTCATACTTCTATTGATGAATTAATGGAAACTAACGTCCGAGATACTTAAACCAAACGAATCGATAACGTATGGGACCAAACACACTTAATTTTTAAACCGGTGACTAAAGTCGATCAGAACGAAAACAAATAGGAGTATTTGTATAGTTTACCCTTATTTTTTTAAAATTAAGTGGCTTATTTAATTTTAATAAAAAAATTAAAATTATTTTAGATTTAAAATATTCAAATATTCTAAAAAATTAAATATAAAATACTAAACAACTATATTACTAAAAAAGATTAAAATGTATGAATATTAAAAATATTTAAAAAAATAATTTAAAAAATTAAAAATATATACCAACAATCAGTTGATTTAGTAAGAAGAAACGTTAAATATTTAAATAAGGTCAGGATTTGAACCTTAACGTTTGCGAATGGAATTATCTTGTGGGATTATCTTCATAACCTCCCCTCCTCCATAAAATAGCCTTGGCTGTTTTGGGGGATTTGGGCTATCATGTTTCCCTTTTCACCTGCTACAAAGACGATTGTTATGTTGATTTCGATAGATGCCTTTGTAATAATTACTGGTATGAAGCATTTTCGGATTCTCTTGTCTGACATTGACTTTGTATAACATCTGATCATCATTTCATTCTTTTGTGTTTATCTGAAGAAGATAACTCTTACGGCCTACCTTTGTGGGGTTCAACATTATCTCGATCAATACCGTTTGGTAAAACTTGAAGTCAAACTTCATACTGACTTAGAATTGTTGCTTGATCATGAGGAATTACTATGGAAGCAAAATTCTATCTCTCATTGGATTCGTTTCAGTGATCAAAACATAAAATCCTTCCACTCTGGGGTTGTTACCAAGCGAAGAAAAGAAAGAATTAGCATGCTCAAAATTGTTTTGGATACTTGGTGTGATGATGATTCTCGTTTAAGAGTTGCTCGGTCCACTTCCGATGCACACGATCATAATGACCACTGGACGAAACCCCTCCCGATTTTGTAAAATTAAATGTTGATGGAGCCTGCCATGGGGGCATTGATCCGGGACACTGATGGTTTTGTACTGGCTGGGAGGGAGAGAAGAATAGATTGTCCTGGGATGGCCAGCTGTGTTGAAGCACGTGCTCTTTGTCATGGGTTGCGTTTGGTTTCAAGAGTTGGGGTATTCTCTGGTGCTGGTCGAAAACAATGAAGCTGTGATGGTTACACAGCTTCTTTTGATCCAAGACATAATAAGACTACGACCTTCCTTATCCCCAAAGGTTCTAATCTAGAGAGCCTTTGCGAATTTCCGTCCAATAAACTTATGTAATGTTCTTTACAAGCTTATAACAAAGATCATAATCTGTTGTCTCCTAAGTATTATTTCACAGCTAGTGGGTGACCATCAAATTAGCTTTATTGTTTGTCCTCTTCAACGATGCAAGTCTAATGGAATGAAGGCCTTTGTGATAAGTTCAGACCGGAAAGGGGCGATAGGGGTTTTTGCTCTCTCTGTATCTCTTTATTCTCACTATGAAACACCTCAGCCATTACATCACTCGTACTGTTAATTTAGAGTCTTGAATCCCCTTTTGTCTCTGTCAAAATGGTACTCCCATCTCACACCTCTTTTTTACCGATGATTTAATTCTTGATGCAAAGGCCGAGTTATCTCAATGATGCCATTGATCATATTCTTGAAGTCTTTCAAAGTATATCAGACCATAAAGTTAACAAAAAGAAAATTGTGATTTACTTTTCCGCTAATATTTCTTTGGAGGTTGCTGATTCTATTAGTTCTACCTTGGGCTTTCAAATGGTTTCTGAAATGGTGACTTACCCCGATTCGACACAACGGAACAAGTTCTCGGCTTTACCAAACTATCATCGAAAAAATCTGGAGAAGACTAAACAATTGGTCTGCTAACTCCCTAAGCTTTGCGGATAGACTTGCAATTACAAAATCTGTTCTTTCTGTTATTCCTATTCATTTCATGGATGCGTGCTTCCTTCCAGTTTGGGTTTGCAGAGAAATTGAGTGCATAATCCGCAACTTCATTTAGGGTGTTAATGATTCCAACAATTCTCTTCCTCTAGTCAACTGGGACTCCCTTTGTCAACCGATGACAAATGGAGGCTTAGGCGTTAAGAGACAACCTAACACAACATGGCTCTCATTATGAAGTTTTTTTATGCTGTGATAAACTCTCCTAGTCGTATATGGGTCCGATTACTGCGTGAAAAGTATAATGTCACAGAAGTGGTGTCAGATTCTCTCCATCAATCCCATTGTTCACCCCTCTGGAGATCACTTGTGAATGTTTGGCCCCTCTTCAAATCACAACTTGCTTGGTCAAGTGGAGTTGGAACTAGTATTAGCTTCTAGTTCGACAATTGGTCCCTGACCTTGGGCCCCTACATATGTTGAAGAAATCCTTGCTCACTCCCTTTGATTCTTCTCCTATTATTGCTTTCTCCCACCCGAATGGTTCGTGGAATTGGAATGCAATACACCAAGCACTCTACCACGAGGTCATCCCTTTCTTCCATAGCATCAGGCCTCCTGCCGCCTCTGTTGGGTATGATAAATACTATGGGAACCATGATGTCCATAAATGCTTCACTGTCAAGAGCGCTTACCTTCAACTGTCATAGGATAACTCTCAATAGCTAGACTTTAAGTGGAAAGCAATTTGGAAGCTTGATGTCCCTGAAGGAGTGCGATACTTGTTGTGGTTAGTTATGTGAGATAGGATTCTGATGAATTTCAATGGCAGCAAATGGCGCATTTCATATGACCCGACTTGTATATCCTGTGGAGAAATGGAGGAAACTACGATACACATCCTCTGGGACTGCCAGGCGATGAAACAACTATGGTACTATGAACTCCTCCATGGTTTTAATGCCCATTGGTTTTTCAACCTACATGTTGAGGAATGGATCTCTATGAATCTTAAAATTCGAGCTATCCACCCGTCCTTTAATATCCCATGGAATTCTTTGTTTTCATATTTGGTGTGGCATGCATGGAAACGAAGTAACAACAAGATCTTTCAAGAGGAATGCTCCAATGCGAGTTAAATACTCCATCAAAGTCTTGCCTTAGCCAAACATTTTACTCAGAGATCAATAGGCCCTTGTACTTCCAATAAAGAAGGTATTCAAGGCATTCAATATGTCCCTTTGGGACATGCCTAATTTGTACCTTTAGGCTCTTTTATATTCCAAAAAAAACTTATTGAAGTCTTGCTTGGAAAGAACCAGTGCAACATCATAGTATTTGCTCTGTTTTCTTCATGTATTTAGATACGATGATAGATACGAGGGGATACCAATGACAGAGTATCGAAAGTTATAGCTATCGAAATAGAAAGAGGCGGTTTTGAATGATAGAGGAGAGCTAAAATTAATGGACTATATATGAATATAATACAAATATATTATATATCTGCTCTACAAAGTGCTACCATGTACTTTTTCAACGGAAATACAAATATAGAGAGCATTTAAAAGACCATTAGGAACTTTTGATATTGTTAGTCAACTTCTTTTGTATAATATGTAGTTAGTTTAACTCAATTGTGGCTTAATGTGACTTGGAACGTTGATAAGCTGTATGATGTTTTAAAGTATGGCATGGATTGTAAATGCATGTTAGTGTTAAGGTGCAGTTTATGCATTTAATGAATGATACTAAGTATGCTTAAGTTGATAAGATCATAAATGGTAAGAATGAAGTGGTTAAATGTTGCATGACTTGACTGTGTTTCAGCAGTTAAAAAGACGAGTATAAAAATGATCAGGTCATGACTATTGAATATATATAATTGTAAATGGAATTCTTTTTTCAGAGTCCAAATATAATCTGTGGTGAACCAATGGTAGGTTCTGGGCTCACCCGTGACAGTCTTTTCAATCCGATGGAAGACACTGTGTCTTAACTGCATTCCAGAATATGCAGGAGCAAGAAATAATTTGATATATGGTACCATTTTATTGATTTTGTTTACGTTAAAAACAACCAAGTTTCCCTCTATAAAACCCCCTCCCTTCACACCACATTCTCTATCCTTGAATTATACTACTCTTTAACTTATATATTTTAGGCAGAGAGATGGCTTCGAAGAGATCAGCGTCACTTGCCCTCTTTTTCACACTCAACATTCTTTCTCTCTAGTGAGTGCTAATTGCCCAACTCCGTCTGCAAAAGGCAAATGCCCCGTAAATACCCTTAAACTGGGTGCACGTGCTATCGCGCTTGGTTTGGTCAATGTGACCGTGGGGTTCACCCCCAGTGCAGCCATGCTGCGTGCTCATCAAAAACCTTGCTGACCTTGAAGCTGCCGCTTGCCTCTGCACAACAATCAAAGTCAATGTTTTGGGCCTCAACCTTAATGTCCCAGTCACCCTCACCCTGCTTCTCAACGTCTGCTCAAAGAAGGTTCCGTCTGGCTTCATATGTCCCTGATCATCTTCATCCTCCCCTCTGGTTTTCGTGGTTTCCAAGTTATTATTAATTCCCTGTTCGCATTGGCAGCTTCTTGTTTCCTTTATCGCAGAGTTGGTTTCCTTGTGGATTGATATTGTATAAATTGTGTACCACTTGTATTTGTTCCAACTTTCCAAGTTATAATTAATTTCCGCTTCTCATTGGTAACTTCTTGTTTCCTTTATTGAAGTAAATTTAGTATAATTATTTTATTTTTAAGATATTAAATTAGTATAAATTTAAGTTAATAAAAATTTGAGGATTGAAATTGTTTTATTAGCCTGGTGCAAATAGGTGAAAATATTTGTTCAAAAATTCTCATCCTTTATATGATAAACGCTTATACTCATGCATACATGGTACTTGAATCTTAAGGTAACTTGGTTTAGAATTAGATCATTTTTTATTATGTTTATTTTATGTTCAATGATTTAAATTTAATTTAACCTATAGATTATTTTAAATTCAAATTATTTATAAATTTTACACATTTTTTTCACAATTAAAGTTGATAAAATCAAACTTTTTAATTTTAAAATAAAATTAATTCCAAAATTCGTTATGCACGAATTTGTTTATAATATTTTTCTATTGATCTATTGTGTTTATAAGTGATAATATGTATTCTAAAGATTTTCATAAATAATATACAATCTCTAATAATAGGAACCTCTAAGAACAACGATCATTACTTAAATTTCGTTCCGTGCTATTTTAATTAAAAATATGTATTTTATTAAAATATTATAGCCCAAATGCCTCCAAGAGAGCAAGAAAAATATGAGTAAAAGCGAGAAATGGTGTTGCGATGTGAGCAAAGTTCTTCGCTGGACAAAAGGACCAATGGGTCACTGGAGTTGAAGTAAAGTTTATTACGCTATTGAAGGATTGAAGATTAATACATTGTTCAACAAATTATTCATGTAATGTTCATTTATATTTATTTATTAAGATAAATAAGTGATTATAAACAAAAATTTTAACTTTATTTAATAAACGAATGTACACGAATATTGGTGTGTACGGTTTATTTATGTTCACGAATAAACTCGTTTATTGACTCATTTATAAGATCATTTATAAACTAGTTTATAGTTTTATTTACACATTTCTCATTTTCCTTTTATTTTTCTACATTTTAAATATTAGTGAAGATAGAGATTGAATTGAAGATAAAATGAACTTTGGAGTTCATAATGTAAAGCCTAAAAAAAATTAAAGACTAATGATGTAATTTCAACATTTTTCTTCAGGTTGCAAATAAAAGGATAAAAAAGGGATAGTTCTACTATACGACAACATAATATAAGGATAAGGAAATACGCTACCGAAAATGTTAATATATTTTTAACATTTCTGGTATAGCACTATTTAAAATGTTATTTTTTTCTAATGAAAATGTTAATTTCGCTACCTAAAATGAATATTTTCGATATTAACATTTTCTGTAGAAAAAATAACATTTTAGGTATTGCTCTACCGAAAGTGTTAAAAAAATATTAACATTTTCAGTAACGCCTTTTCTTAGCATTATATTAGGTTGTCTTTCCTTAGACATCCCCTACAAAGAGAGTATTGCTTGTCAAACATTAAATGAATATTAAACGAACATATTCATGAATGTTAAACGAACATAATCGTGAACATTAAATGAACATGTTTGCAAAACTTATACTAGAGATATAGCCAAAAGTTTAACTTTAACATAGGTCATATTTTTAAGGACTTTAAAGTTTATACATAATTTTTTTTTACCTATTTATTTTAAAAATATAAATGATAACATCAAAATTACACATTAGTTTTATCATTTTTATGAAATAATGAGTAGAAAATTAGAAACAAAATTAAAGTAAATAATTAAAAATGTATGATTTTAAAAAAGTGTCAAAGTCATAATTATTAAATAGTCATAATAAAACATGACACTTCTGGATGAATAAATTAATATTTAATATTGGATTGAGATCTGATTTTGTCTAATGAATTTAAGGTGGGATGAAAAAAACAGTCCGACCAGGGGATCCAATTCAGCTGCAAATGTTTCCATTTTCAGAAAATCAAAACAGATATTAGCAGTCATTGCGATTTCAATGGTGGCAAATTATTTAAGCAGTGAATCGATGCTAAAGGTGAACAATCCGCTTCAAAGTTGAAATGGTAGGGGAGACATTAGACGACGCTTACTGTTTCAACACTCAATGCCCATCGATTTAATACAGCATTACAATCATTGTGGGCAACTCAAATGTACCATCATTATCTGAGAATCAGAAGAAACTTTCCCTTGCCTTTCCTCAAAATTTTCCCACCAACCAAACACCGCCACTCCCCTTTCGCCACTTCCACAATCCGAACCCCAAATGCCAATCCCAACATTGAAGCCGTTCCCTCTGATTTCCCTTCTCCTTCACCGAAAAGACCCCACTTGGTTCCCACCCATAACTTAACAAGCAAACACCCAGCTTTCCATCAAAATAATCTCAATGACATCATTTCTTCTAATAAGATTATCAGTGGCTATATTCGATCGGGTGATTTGAATTCCGCTCTCCGAGTTTTCACAAACATGACTGTTAAAACGACTGTTACTTGGAACGCAATTTTAGCTGGGTATTCGAGAAAACCCGGGAAAATGACACAAGCGCAGAAACTGTTTGATCAAATTCCTCAAAAGGACATTATCTCGTATAATATCATGCTGGCTTGTTATGTACAAAATTCTGGGATGGAAACGGCCTGGTCTTTCTTTAATTCCATGCCCGTTAAGGACACCGCTTCTTGGAATACAATGATATCTGGTTTCGCTCAAAATGGTGCAATGGGGAAAGCAAGGGAATTGTTTTTGGCAATGCCAGAGAAGAATAGTGTTACTTGGAGTGCAATGGTTTCTGGGTTTGTTGAATGTGGGGCATTGGAATTGGCTGAGGAGTTTTTTGAGTTTGCCGCAGAGAAGAGTGTGGTGACATGGACTGCAATGATAAGTGGGTATATGAAGTTTAGGAAGATATATAAAGCTGAGAGTTTGTTTCGAGAGATGCCGGTTAAAAACTTGGTGACTTGGAATGCTATGATCGCCGGTTACGTGGAGAACTGTCGGGCTGAGGATGGTTTAAAGCTTTTTAGAACCATGTTAAGAAATGGTATCCGGCCGAATCATTCGAGTTTGAGCAGTATTCTATTGGGTTGTAGTGAATTGTCCGCTCTACAATTTGGGAAACAAGTTCATCAGCTTGTTTGTAAGTCTTTGTTACGTGATGATACAACAGCGTCTACTTCATTGATCAGCATGTACTGTAAATGTGGGGTGTTGGATGATGCTTGGAAACTGTTTCTCGAGACGAATCGGAAGGATGTTGTTTGTTGGAATGCAATGATTTCTGGATATGCTCAACATGGTGCAGGTGAGAGAGCTCTTCATTTGTTCGATGTGATGAGGAGCGAAGGAAAAAGGCCTGATTGGATCACTTTCGTAGCTGTTCTTTCAGCCTGTAACCATGCAGGGATGGTAGATATCGGGATTCGATACTTTGATTCCATGGTGAAGGATTATGGGGTTGAACCTAGACCAGATCACTATTCGTGTATGGTGGACCTGCTCGGTCGAGCTGGGAAACTCATTGAAGCTGTAGATTTGATAAAGAAAATGTCTTTCAAACCGCATTCCGCCATATTTGGAACCCTTTTGGGTGCTTGTAGGATCCACAAGAACTTGGAGATAGCCGAGTTTGCCGCTCAGAACTTGCTCAATCTTGATCCTAAAAGTGCAGCTGGGTATGTGCAGCTGGCTAATGTTTATGCTGCAATGAACAAATGGGACCATGTTGCTCGGATTCGCCGATCAATGAAAGACAATGGGGTAATAAAAACACCAGGTTATAGTTGGATTGAGACAAAGAGTACAGTTCATGAGTTCAGGTCTGGGGATAGAGTGCACCCCGAAGTAGCATCCATACATCTGAAATTGAATGAGTTGGAGAAGAAGATGAAGTTGGCTGGTTATGTTCCGAATCTTGATTTCGCATTGCATGACGTGGGAGAAGAGCAAAAAGAACAGCTTCTATTACGGCATAGTGAGAAGCTGGCGATTGCCTTCGGCCTTATCAAAACTCCATATGGAACCCCGATCAGGGTGTTTAAGAACTTGAGAGTCTGCGGCGATTGCCACCGTGCCATCAAGTACATTTCAGCAATAGAAAGAAGAGAGATTATTGTTAGGGATACCGTCAGGTTTCACCATTTTAAGGATGGATGCTGTTCTTGTGGAGATTACTGGTAGGTTTAAGGATTCCCCTCGAAAGCTATTTTTCAGCATTTTCCTTTCATTGCAACTGTTGTACACATTCATGTGAAGAATTCAAATTTCACCATTTATATCATTTCCATATTCCTGGTTGGTTTATTTTACCGAAAGCATTATCCGGAAAATATATTTTGTAAAATGAATTATAAACAGAACCTAAAATTGTCAGCATAAATGACCTGAGCCAAACGGTACAATTTTATGAACTTCCATGACCTTGTTATAAACATAAATTTAAAACCTGATATTACTATTTTGTACGAGCGTATTCTTTATAACCGAATTCAATTAAAAGAAAGGAAATTTAACAGAGTAATAACCGATGACGAGAATAGGACATATATTGAACCATCTGAAATTCATATCAAAAGAATTTAGAAGACACTAGTTTTACATGCAACAAAATAAACACAAAAGAGCATTATGAGCCCTACTTAAAAACTATTTTTCTTTAAGACGAGCAGCAACCAGACTTCTGCTCGATTTGCTGTCCTCGAATATTCACTGTTGCAGGTCTCGCGCTGTTCATAGCTGGTTGGCTTGCCATCCTGCCAACAACCGTAAGGAAATAAGGACCGATAAACTCGAAAAATGAGTGCCTCTCAATTAAAGACATAAATTCATCTACCATATATACGTACCTATTCTTGATTGAGGCAGCCATGGCCATGAAAGCTTCTTCAACATTCGTGGCACTCTTAGCACTTGTTTCCATGAAAGGAATCCCGATTTCATCTGCAAAGGCCTGTACAAAGAAAATAGCTCATGAATGAGGAATTCCAGAAGTTCTCTGATACCTGCACCTCTGTATAAATTTGCAAAAAATGCGTCCATTCAATTTACCTTGGCTGTTTCATAGGCCACGGCTCTGTTTGCTGTTAGATCACACTTGTTCCCAACTAAAAGCTTGTTTACATTATCACTGGCATAGCGGTCAATTTCATTTAGCCACTGCTTGACATTGTTGAAACTCTCTTGGTCTGTCACATCGTAAACAACCTGCCAAGAGGTTAGCAGCATGAGTTCAATCCTGATACATGCATAAAGAAAAATAAGGGAGAAACTACATGGAAAACATGCAAAATATGGCACTTACTATGATACCATGAGCACCACGATAATAGCTACTAGTTATTGTCCTAAAACGTTCTTGTCCAGCAGTGTCCCACTGATTATACAGAGACAAACATGGAAAGGCAATCAACAATGATCAGAACAGAAGATGCAGTCATAAAGATTTTAACTGTAATAAAGTCAATTGAACACAAAATAAAAAGGAATTTGCAAAATTGAAACTGAAGGGAATTGTGAGAATGAAGAAACACACAGTTAAAGCAGGCAAAGAACAGGTGCAATTGGATTATGGATTCCAAAAATATCTTGATTAACAAACGAAATGATAGCCAACCAATTACAAACTTACTATTTGGAGTTTGATGGTTTTCCCATCCTGTTCCACGGTGCGAATTTTCTGCAGATGGGAATTTAAATTGTAATTAAGCTACCATTCGAAAACTAAAATGAACAAACTACTGCTATGAAAGTACTGAAGCAAAACTTACAAAGTCAACACCAATGGTACTGATATAACTCTCCAGATATGAATCATCCTTGTTTGCAAAAAATTAAAGAAAATGAGTTCAAACGCATACACCTAATTAATAGAAACATCTGAAATCATGAAGCTATGTTCAGAAGGCATGAAACTCAAAGATTAACCAAGAACTTACAGCAAACCTCAAAAGTAAACACGATTTCCCAACACCAGAATCTCCAATAAGCAAAAGCTTAAACAGATAATCACTGCCATAAACAAAAAAAATTCAGAATAAACATTGACAATAGTGAAAATATCAATCTATAAGCAAACATCAGATGAAAGCTCCTAATCAATGAAGATTCACTTTTCTCCCTAGCAGTATAAACACTTTTATTTGACTCAGAACGATTCATCAAAATTCATTTGATTACTTCTATCTTAAGTCCTAAATTTCTTTGATATATCTTGAATTCCTCCCTAAACTGTTAACTAACTTAAGAACTCACTTCTATAAGTCGCGACTTGCAGCCACAATTATTATTTATTATCAAACTTATCATGAGAAAATCAATAAACACACCTAAAACTTCAAATAATCGGATCTGGTAAATAAGGCTATGAAAGAAGGAAACACAAATATCTAGGAGAAATAAACAACGCAAATTCGAAAGAACAACAATGATAAAACAGATCTATGGAAAATAAACTAAACACGAGTGATTAACATAAACTAAAATAAAAGAAATTAATAGGTAAACATTTTTTTTTTCAAAAATTTAAAGAGAATAAAAAAAACTTACTATTCGGGATTCATGACGGCGATGAGTTATAATAAGCCGAGTCACGGGATGTCGAAGCAGATGATAGAGGGAACCGGGAATTGTACCTTACGGCTAGAGTTACCGGTGATTTGAGATGGCCGCCGGAGAAAGCGAAAAAGGGAGAGATCTTTCGTTGCCGTGAAATGGAGGAAGCTAAAAAGGGTATGTACGCGTTGTTGTGATGTGATTTCTGATGCTATAAATAAAGAGCCAGACTTGTTGGAATTTTATTTAATTACTTTTACTCAAATTTAAAATTCGGGAAAACAAATGGAAGCCACCAATACACTTTCGTCCTGTTAATTACAAATGAAGGCATTTTCTTGAAAATAATATTATTCTCAATAATATTTTAACTTTATTTATATACTAGCTTTCTTTCAAATTATTTAAATTGATAAATCATGTTTTATAATTTAAATTTTATTTAAAAATTTTTGAGTTGAATTGAATATTCAAAATTTTGTTTAAATTTAAGTATAAATATTATGGTACTATTTGATTTTAATTTAAACGATTTTATATAATCATATACAATAAATATATATTTCTTCATATTTTTTAAACATGATATACATATGTCACACATAATTAAGATACTTAACTCAAACTTAAAACTACTCTGAATTATTAAAATTTTAAATTATTCGAGATAATTGAATTTTGTTTTATAACTTAACTCGAATTTAATATTTTTTTAATAAAATCAAATTTATAAAATTATGAATTTTAATTTACATTATTTTAAATCAAAATTTTGAATTGATTTTACTCCAACTATTGCTAATAAATAACTCCAATGAAAAATATTTTATCAAAATTATGCATTTACCCAGAGTAAAAGTGATGACAGATTTATCAGAATATCGGAGTCATGTTTAAATTTTGTTTAATAATTATATTTCAAATATTATGTATATTTATATAATTTACATTACAGTGGTGAATTTGAAATCGAAAATAACTTTGACGATTCAGATGGAGCAGTCACGCGCCTGCCAGCCTGAAACCGCGGTGGCTGGCTGTATACGACTACGACCAAACTTGCAAACGCAAGATCAACTGAATGGGACAAACATGTGATTCTCGATTATCAAATTTTACTTTGACCTTTCCCATTGACGACGCTCAAGTTCAGGCGCGTGTATTAGCTTCCTTAGGAATTAAGTCAAACATTTTTCATTTTTTTGGTTTTAAGTTGGAGTTATGTCAAACATGACAGCTTAGAATGTTCTTTGGAAAAGGATAAGTTGAATTTATAATGGAAGGGTTCATGCAGCATGCCCCTTTACGAGGTCATTAAATAATGGAAATTTATAATCGATTTTGTACACTAAAATACATCGTTAATGTAATACATTGATACTTATAACTAAATAAATATAAAAATATACAACATATTCAACATTAATTTTTTTATTGTTTAGTCTGAATTTTAATAAAAAAACAATTAAATTATTTAGTTTTCAAATAAATGACGCACACAAAGAGCAAGGAGTGTATTATCTCATACTGTGTAACAAAAGAAGTCTTCTCTCTTATCCCCGTCACTCTTTTCCTTTATTTTTGGATGATTCTATTGTTCCTCTAGCCTCTCAAACATTATTTTTATAAAATTAAATAAAAATACATTTTTAATTAAATTGATACTCAATTTTTTTTTTTGAATTTGATGGCACGAATCAAATAATCTCGGTGGTAAAAGATGTATTATTATTTTTTCTTGAGGTTTTAAGTTTGTGCACCAAAAATATTAAAACTGTGAGCCTTTAATATCAAAGATGGACGCCCCACGATCAACGTTGGATCCAAACACAGCTCTTGAGGATATCACGTTGCCTATTTCCTAGGTTTTTCTTCTTGCATACTCATGGACTTCTAATCTTAATAACGCTGTGCTTTAAATGTAATGCAATAAAAGTTACAGCAAACATTTTTCTGGTTGCCAAGTTCTTTTTGCAGAAACGGAAAACTTTGGCATGAATTGAAGAATTCATGTCCCTAGAATGAACATAAATCCTCTACCCCTTTCTGTGCTCCTATTTGTGCCCTATCAGTAATAATTTTACACGTGTATTCTTATTTTTTATGACAACACTGCGTAATCTTCTAAATATTAGTTTCTTCTTTTACTTCATCTTTCCCAACCCACATCTCCTGCTATGCTTGTAAACACTGTACATAGTTTCTTTAACTTTGCACTTAACATTCTTTAATTTCAAAAGTAAATTAATCTCCACCACACTGTTACCTTTTGTCTCTATCACTATCGATATCAGCAATGCACCTCTCTAAATCTTGCATTCTCTTCAATACTACCGTCTTCACTTCATCGTCTCCCTTCCTTCTCTAGCGCCACACGATCAGTTCACTGAATTGTTCGAATTTGTTGATACTTCCCTCAACCTCATCCTTGTTAACTTTATTAGACGACGCCGACCCTATCCAAAACGAATTTTAGAAGCTGATTCCATGGAAATCCCATTAAAAAACTTAGCTAGCTCTTTAGTCAACATCTTGCGACTTTTCAAAAATGTAGTGATCTTCGACTCGTCTTTTCTTCTTAGAGTCACCCTCGTCATGAGTTGCTCTTCTTTGAGTTAGAAAAACGATGTTTGGAAGATCCCGTAAACATCGACAAAACGTAGGAATTTTTCGAGGAGTTTCTCGACCCATTCTTGGGTCTGTGGGAGCTGAAGGATATCATGGAGGGAATCTTGAGGGTCCTTTAGGCGGCTCAAATCATCACAAAGCCAAGTCGAGGTACGGTTATCAGGTTTGGACAACCACATTTTGAGCTGAGTGATTTCATCTTTGAGTTGGGAAATCAAAGGGTGTGATCTGCATGGAAGAGAGATAGATCTCAAGTGTTGAGAGATGGACGGTTTAGATAGACGTTTATAAGATTTGTTTGGGAAAGAGAGCGAGTTAGTGAGTGCCTTAAAAAGCCAACCAACTAAAGAAATCATGTGCAGTGTTTTCAAGCATAACATGAGATGTAGGTTAGGGAAGATGAAGTAAAAGAAGAAACTATCTTTTATGCAGTGTGGTCCTAAAAATAAGAATACACGTGTAACATTATTACTGGTGGGGCACAAATAAGAGCACATAAAGGGGCAGAGAATTTCTATTCCCCTAGAACATAGTTTTTCATAATTTAGATAAGGATAAAATAGTTTCGTAGTGAACATCCAAAGTCTAAAATCTAGACTTCGAAGTGTGGTTTATAGGTAGTCGATGAACCCTCAATATAATATTCGAGGTTCGATCATATCATGCAAGTCAGATTCGATCATAACGTGCGAGTCAGATATAAAAGTTACATATCCTATTTGTTTTAGGTTGCACTCTGCAAGTTGTGTGATTTTAACTTTGTTAATGATTCGGATTGTTTTGATATACGAAAGTGCCATTTTTCAACCTTGAAAGGCTGGGTTAGTTATTCATTATTTTTATCTCTTGGCCATTACAGCACTGTAAAAGTGACAGACACATAAAATCACACAGAAACAACAATCAAAGAACCGAAAATTTTGTACGTTGAATTAATTGGCCGGAGGATGTGCATTACTCCTACGAGCAAAACTAATCAGCCGAGACAGCACGTGCCTTGTTCATTTTGCTAAAAAATGTAGCTGTCGATTAACCGGTCCCTAAACCCAGTGCATATGGTGAAGAATTGAAGCACATATCCTGAAATAGAGATAGATTAGTAGAAAACATTCAAATTCCTTGTGATGGAAGTTACGTCCGCTTTGCATTTTCTTAGCAAAACTTCACATTTATGACCTGCACATGCAACTGCCGTAGTAACCATTAATCACATGGTTTGACTTGCATCTTTTTTCTCAAGCCAGAACTGTGTGTGTGCTTGATGAGTTGAGGCCCATGATATTAAATTTCTCAACCAACTTGCCCATATATTTATATTCTTCGTCTTACTTTTTCTCGAATCATAAAGTATCCAGATTCTTGCTATCTCCTTATCCCATAAAACCATCAAGTTTAGTCTGTTGTACTGTGCATCCATGCCTACTACTAATCGTCAATGGTCGGAAGACCTCTATAAAGAGACCTCTCATTTTCTTAAGCCTAGATTTAGGGTTAATTTTCTCTAAAGAAAAAAAGTTTAAAATGTCATAGATCTAAAAGATACTGCCTGGTGGCCTAAAGGCTCTGCTGGTATGTCTGTCGTGGAGATGTCACTGGAAACTTCTAAAGTTGATCGGACGTGGGTGGTCTGGGGCACTATAGTGGCGTACGCCGCTGTCCCCTGCCACAAACCATTGTCTTTGTTTATTTTTATTTTTTATAATATAACAAAAGTCTAATATCTCAACCCCAAACTACAATAGCCCAAACGATCCATTTGATGAGTTAAAGGCTTAAAGACATAAATTCAAATTAAAGTCAAAAATCAATTTTATAATTCCTGTATACACACACATATTTCGATAAACCTTAAATCTAATCTTAATCTTATCTTTAAAAAAAAGAGAGAAATATAAGATTTTACGAGAAAGAAGTAAAGTATTCCTAATAAATTTAGGATCCGTGACCTAAAGGAATATGAGAGAATAAAGAAAAATTAACGAGAAAAGTACTCCTAATTAATTGAAAGTAATACAATTCAAATGGTTATAAGATCAAATTTTATCATATCTCAATTAATATGTTAACGTTTAGCTCAGACAATTGCTACTTTTTTAACAAAAAATAACGAGTTTGAAATATATGAATAATGAATATATATTTTTATAACTTTTAATAATCGAAAAACTCAATAAAACGTCGGTACTTAGTTTCCTTCTAGTCAAGCAATATAACACGTGGGCAGTAGGATGGAAGAGAGAAGGCTTTAATGAGTGCGTAATCCTAGCTGTATATTAATTGGAGACAGGTAGCGGTTTAGCGAACAACTAGAACTGGAACTAGTTGGTGCGGACAATTAGACGTTAGTGGATGCTTTGTTTGAAGAATTAAAGTAAAGGAGATTTGGAGGTTGGGTATTTTTTTTTTACCCAGAAATCAGTAAATGAAACCACCAACCCTTCATTAATTCATTTGCCGCCCTTTTTATTGTCCAGTGATTCCTTCGCCCCCGCCTCTATTTTCTACTTTTAAACGTTTCTTTGATTACACGCCTTCTTTAGCTGTACATGCGTCTCTATATATTCCCATTGGGATTCAGCAACCCCTTCAGACCGAACCCCCAAAGATGGCCAACCAAACCCCTGCCCCTGTCCCCAAACTGTCCATCGAGGCAATTCAGACAGTAACTCCGGTGAGGATAACCGAACAACGACAGACACGACAAGTGTTGGCGGGCGATGGTCTTGTCGGTCCCGGGATTTTCCAAAGCTGCTTCAACATGGTCCAGTATTACACCCAGGAAAGAGAAGAAGATTCTGGTTGGCATCTTGCCGGGTGGATAAAAGAAACACTTGGGATAGCTTTAATGGAGCAACCAATGATTTGTGGACGTCTTCGAAAAGGGGAGAAAAACAAACAACAATTGGAGATCGTTTCCAATGATAGCGGCATTAGACTCATCGAGGCAAGGATTCAAATCAAACTGTCTGAGTTTCTCGAATCCAAACAAAGGGAAGATGTGGAAGCTCAGCTCGTCTTCTGGAAAGATATCGATGAACACAATCCGCAGTTCTCCCCACTGTTTTATGTTCAGGTATCAGAAAAAAAAACCCAGAATATATAGTATAGGGACCATATATAGACAATTTGACCCTGATTGTTCTTTTCTTTGCTGATCTTATTAAAAGGTTACTAATTTCGAGTGTTGTGGATATTCGATTGGGATTAGCTGCAGCATTCTTCTGACAGATCTTTTGTTAAAGAAAGGGTTCCTCAAGACATGGGCTGATATTCACAACAATGTTATCAGCAACAACAATAACCAAAAGTCCCCCTTGTTCTACCTTCCTGGTCTGAAAAGCACCAACGGTTCATCTCCGGACTTAATCACCTCAACTTCAAGCAAAAACTCAGCCAAAACCATGATCTTCACGATCAATACCGGCACCGGGACACCGGGGAGCGAATGGTGCAGAAAAATGGCGTTAGCTTGTCTCGAGGAAGCCGAGAACAACCTAGCAAGTGTTGTGGGTGGTGAGTTTTGTTTGATATTGAATGAATCGTTAGAGGTCATCAAAGTGGAGAGCTGCTCAAAACAAGGGGTGTTGATGGGACACGACAAGGAGATGAATCATGCGGGATGGGATGATTTGGGAGCTAATGCACTTTGTTTCGGAGACGGTAATAAGCCTGCGCCTGTTTCGTGTTGGCTTACATCCATGTTGGGTGCGTTTGTCATCCTTATTCCTACCACATCCACAACCAATGTCATTGTCACAATTCCTAATGACAACACTGGGAAAATATGATTTTCATTTCGCCCCCCTTTTTTGCTTCAATCGCCAATGCTAATAATATTTTTAGGTACCTAAATTATTAATTTTCTTCCATTTTGGTACTTAAATTTTATTTTTCCCAAAAAACATATTTAACATTTAGTTTAGGTTTCAGTTTAGTACTCACCGTTAAAAAAATTAACATAATTGTTGATGTGATCTTTTTTTATTTTTTTCACTAATGATGTGACATTATCTTATTGTGACACGTCAACATCACCGTTAAAATTTTAATAGTAAAATACAATAATGAAACATAAATTAAATGTTAGATATGATTTTTAAAAAAAATAAAATTTAAATATCAAAATAAAACAAAAATAATAATTTAGATATTAAACGTGCAACTCGTACGCTCTATATCTATTTAGTGTTTCATTGCCATGTTTTACATATCCTTCATCTTCCTAAACCATATGCTTCCGTAATTTCCTTCTTTCAAGTTACCCACAAATTTTATCTATTTAATTCCGTATTAACGATTCGTTGGTCCAAATAAAGTAGGGGACGTTGTGCCTTATTGAATATTGATCGGCCAATAAAAACATGTGCCTTAATTATATGTAACAAATAGTTTGTGGGGGTTGAATTGATTAAGTTGTTGATACTCATAAATGTGGGCGACGTTTGGCACTAAAATACAGTATCATTGGTCCTAAAACAAGAAATAAAGTCTCATTTTGGTCATTGTACTATAAAATATTGTAATTTTGTTTAAATTATTCAAATTAAATTTCTTTTAATTGAATTATTATATCATTAATCACATGATAATATCATATGTTGTTATGTTTTTTTTATAAAATTCTGCCGATGGTTATTCTTAACTTAAATAATTTACAAATTTTAATACTAAACAAATTAAATTACTTAAATTAATTATTATGTTTAATAAAAAATCATAATTTAAATGTAATTTTATTAAAGTGGGTTAAAAATAATTTATCATTGGACATTATTTACATCAAAACTCATACCAAAATATTTGTGTTTTTCTTTTCAATCTTCTCTCTAATTTTATTTTACATGAAACTCAAAATCGATGAAAACGCATCTAAAACTTCAATTTTTCAATAATTCAATTTTCAAGTCCTACGAGATTAGTTTTAAGATATATTTCTCGTCTTCCTAGACGAATACTTTTCATTGTTTGATTTTTTTAATGATATTTAAAACTAATCAAATCAAACAAAATTTCAATATCATCTAAACGATTGATTTATTGTATTTAATTTTGTGAGTTTTCAATAGGTTTTAGGAAAATCTAAACCAATAGAATGATAGAGGTCAATTGAGGTAAGTTCAATAGTCATAACCCATATATAAGTTAAAATCTACATACATATCGTAAAATATTTAGTTTTATATATTCTTAAGATCGTTAGATGAGTGAAAGTAGACTTACAGAAATTATCCTTTTACATTTATTTTTCATAGAATATCTTCATATTTTTTACTGTTAATCTTATTCGTCTATTTTCACTCATCTAATTATACAAAAAATATATAAAACTAAAAAAAATTACACTTGAACAAATCCTACCCCTTTCTCTATATAATATTGTCAATTATAAATTAGTTATCGGTTTTGATTTAGTGTTTAAGCATTGTCTTAACTCTACAAAACATCTAGACTATTTTTTATTCTTATTTCACTTATGCAGGGACGGAGTCAAAATTAAATATTGTCAGAGGCCGAAATATTAGACTATTTAAGAAAAATATAAAGACTTATTAGGTATTTAAACTCGAAATTCTGCATGAATAAGCGACCTTAGTGATTAAGGGGATTGTTGTTATCCTTGAGGTCCAGAGTTCAATCACTGCGTATGTAGGGATATAAGCGTTCATTGTCAAATAGTTGAAAGCCTTTATACATATACTACCATTCACCTTAAATTTATAATAAAAAAACTCAAAATTCACAAGACAACTTTTAATTTGTCTAATATTTAAACTTACAATGACCTGATAATTAGACTAAAAATTTGAGAACACGTACTTATCATTATTTAGTTCGACCACTACTTGATTAAATATTTAATAAAAATTTTATATTTTTTAAATTTAAATATTTATTTTTACATGAACCAAAATTATATCAAATATACAAATTTTAACAGGGGCCGAGGCCCCTTGGACCCTAAGGGAGCTCTGTCCCTGCACTTATGGTTAATAATTTGATTAGAAAATTAAATTTTATTTTAATTAAGATTAAAACTAAATTAATATAATAAAGAATATACATATCATTATAACAAAGAATATAACAATTTTGTTAATAGTTAACGGGAGATAGTTTGTTTAAAATCAAATCAAGTTTAATGACCTAATTGATAAAAGTTTTAGCTCAGTGATCAAAATGGAATCTAACTAATAATTTAATGACATTAGGTTAGTTTACCCAAATATCTACAGCCGTCTATGTTTTAGTTGCAGAGAGACGAAGAAGAAACGGAGACACAATCCATACCTTGTTCAAATCAAACAGAAAAGAAAATGAAACAAGTTGTCATATGAAACAGAGATTTCTTTTGGATTTCGGTGGAAGAGGAGGAGAATTTGTAGACATGGAGAGTAATATAAAAAACGGTGGCACTAAAATGGAGGCAGCGACCAATCAAAGAAAGGGCTTTGGAGGAATGAGATTGGAGAATCCGTTTACCTTGAAAGTGGGTCAAGTATTTACTGGCTTTGGCATTGGTTGTGGTATTGGTATAGGCGTGGGTCGACCTATAAACCTTGGTACTGCTCATTAACCTCTCTTTGCATATACACAACAATTCATTTATTTTTAGCACATTTTTATGCAAATATGAAGAAGAAGAAATTGAATTGTGAGAATGGAATGGGGTGGTTTGTTTGGTCCCTAGATTGATGGTGTTTATCCCAATTTTCTTCCTTTGGAACTTTGTACGTATCAGTTCATTTATCACTTCTTCTTCATTTGTTTCCTATGGCTAGTGTTTGGAATGAGGGACGAATGGAGTAAAGACAAAACCTTTTTGATTGATTAACATCTTACGATGATGAAATACACTCTATTATTGTTAGCTGACATGGATTTCGCTTGTGTTTCGGATTGTGTTTGCATCATTTCAAGGATATTTTATTAACCTGTGTTATATACCAGGTGGGATACCTATGGTGGGCGAAGTTATGAGTGCAACTAGAGGTGCAACTGACGTGTTTTCTGGTGTTAGCAGACATGTAAATGTTGTTGTAAGTCGAATATATAACTTTCATACTCTTGCTGAGATCTTTTCTTGTTTAATTTTGTTTGTTCGACGATTCGCAATTTGCTTGTCTTGTATTTCTCTTGTATTTAGTTGAAGAAGTTGGGGGCTAAGAACATTGAAGCAGGAGTTGGATGCGGAGTTGGTCTTGGCCACGGCTTTGGCATCGGTATGCAATAATGTTGAAAGTAAATAACTCAACAAGTATTGCTATGTTGATGCATTTTTATAGGTAGTGTATCTTATGAATTTCTTGTGAAGTTTGAGTCCTACTGTTATTGAACATTGCAAACTTATGCTCAGTGGTGCTGGTATGTTTGATTAAATATTTCAAGATTAGATGAACCACTGATTATTCTCTCTATTCCCTTGTTAGTTACTTCATGTTATTCCTTGCAGATTGTTTAGTTTTGCCACTTGCTTATATGATCATAGAAAAATAACTCGTTGCGGTGGTAGGGATTCTAGCTCAGAAGATGTCCTTTTGCAGTGACATGAAAATTTGTTTGGTCTTTTTGAATCTTTTTACTTTTGTTGAAATACAAGTAATATGTACTTTAATGCTCTGCCTATCGATATAAATTAAAATTTCCTTTATGACCAAAAAAGATTGTATTGCAGGACTCGCTGTTAAGCCTGGAGTATTGAATCAACTTCAATGTTGTGTTACAGTATGTATAACTTATATAATATCCATATCTCTTTTGTTTTGCTTTACTTGTAACCATGTTTTTATCTTAAATTTATAGCAAGGGATGACAAAATTGATGAACAAGTTTGGAATAGCTCCCGATTTCCCCTTCAGTGAAGGTGCTTTTCCCGAATCCTTTCAAAGTGGTTTGACCACAACAAATGAACCCTCTGTCCATGGCCTGCGTGGAAACTTGAAGCAGGTGGTGTTGAAGCCACCACTTTCAACATCTCAAGGCTTGTCTCAACCTGTAAAAATGAGCAGTGGTTCAGCTAATGAGAAGTTTTCATCAGAAACTCCCAATGAGACATCTTTTGGGAGTAGAACAGAAAACGTTCTCAATAGCTTTTCGCAAAGTCCGTTTTTGAAGGAAGATGAAACTAGCCTAAGTGAACTGGTAAGCAAAGATACCTATATGTTTGTGCACGTGACTTTGTTATTTGTCGATTGAGAGTTTTTGTATTTCTTGTCAACATTCCAGCATTGAACTTGTATGTAAAATGTCAGTTTATAAAATATTATTGGATGTCTATTGGTTAAACTTGTTCAGTATAAGTCTTGAGACTAGCTCATTCTATACACTTGATGGGAGTGAAAAATCATTTCACTCTAGATACCGATTCTAGAGATGATAAGCTGTCAAAAAGAACATGCTTTAACGTGAACAAGCAGTTTTTTGCACTGATTTTGGTCACCAGTAATAGCAATGGGAAGCAGCAATAATTCACTTGGTTTTGGTTGTTTTGTAGGCTGGAAAGTTGCGATCTGAAAACAACATGCTTCAACTGGTAATGCTGCTTCTTAGTTATTACTTTATCCACCCGATTTTAAGCCAATTTTTATGGTTTCGTGAACAAGATTATTGATCATTTAAAAAAATGAATATTTGCTGAGAGCAATGATAATCAGATGTAAAAGAAGTTTCTTTATGTCCGATTTTATTGGTTACCATTTTCTAAATTTGTGTCGAAGGATTTATTAATGCTATCTGCTGCAAGGTTTTCAAGATTCATGAGGGCTCTCATCCATAATAGCACATTGCTCATGTTCTTAGTCATCTCTTTTTGTTAGGACTGTGTTAGATCATACTGAAACTTATATATTTTTCATTTAGTTGCTGAAACATGAGCGAATGATCGAGGAGCTTATGGAGGAGAATCAGAAGCTTTGTCAGATACTCCTGGAAGACCTGAAAATACCACCCAGCAAGCTCCAAGCCAGTTACTCGAGTACAATGAAATCTCCATGTTTGGAATGCTTCTATTGCCGAAGGAAACAAAGGAGAAGTAGATGATGATAACGAATGATAAGTAAACTAAAGACCATTCAAGTGCCATACCAAAGTTCTTATTTGACAGCACATCCGACCGAATTTTGAGTTCTGGTGAGGCACTCCAACCTGATAATGCTGAAGTGGTGTTAGTCATCATCAAGTTTGAGCCAGAGGAAAAGGTTCTGAAGTAAGTCAAATCCCTCAAATACTAACTCAACAAGCTGATTAAACAATAGATATGATTTCTCTTGTTGTGTTTCGTTTGCGGATAGTCAGATTATGCTATTTCACTTGCATCTTTTTCCCCGTTGATGTGCAATTCTTTGTTATAATTTGCATGGTAACTGGTCATGAAAATTGTACACTAATGTTGACTTGAATACCAATTAACAGAAGTTAAGCTTGAGAGATACAATAGACTAGAAGAATATGTATTTGTTGGTGGGGGCAAAGCAAGCACCCCATGTGCACATCACTTTCATGCTACAATTGATTTTTCTTTTGAGTTTTAGGCCCACATCGTACATCTATTTCTTTCTCCCTCAAGCCACCGGTATCATAATAGTATCTATATGAATTTTGATTCATTAATCATTTTTAGTATATAGTTTTTGATATATTTGTAGCATTTTTCCATTTTACTTTCAATAAAGCAAAGGCAATTTGGGCTCAACTTCTCAACAAAAGTTAATGGGTAAACTATACGTTTAGCATCCAAATATCACTTTTGTTTCATTTTGACACTCAATTATAATATTTTTTAAAAATAATACCCAGCGTTACGTTTTAGTTTTATTTTGGTCACCCGTTATTGAAAAATTAACAAAATTGTTAACGTGAATTTTTTTAAAGTTTTTTCAATGATCATGGTATTACCTTATGACATATTAGAATCATCGTTGGATTTTAATGGTGGGTGATAAAAATGAAACAAAAACATACTGTTAGATATAATTTTTAAAACAAAACACAGTTAGATGATCAAAACGGAACAAAAGTAATAGTTGAGATACTAGACATAAGTTTACCCAAAGTTAATTACACTTCCATATGTGGTCCACACAAAGTCTACCATTACAGCTAGCACCTAGGCTTTTTCTTCCACTGCTGATATTCATTGGCATCATCCATTCACCACCACTTATTGCTTGCACTTATTCCTTCTATCCACCCTCCAACCCATACTCAACTAACTTTTAGCTGCAGGATGGGTTTTTAATGGATTCATGGAAATGTACATTTCTTTTAGGTTATTCAAATTCGGGAAGAATATTGGACATTTTTGTATTAGTTCAACATTGAGTGTACCAAAATTTACATATATTTCGAGGATCAAATTCCTATGGGAAAGGGAATTGTTTTTTTTCTAGAGATTTTAGGTTGCTGTCGTTTGTCTGTGGAGTGTATATCCATCCATTAGTAATTAATTGAGAAAATTATGAACAAATAATTCTTTATAAATCCGACTAATAAAACATTAATGTGCGCAAAGAAAAAGAATTTTTTTAACCAAGTATTGTAGTAACAGAAACAAGAATCACAGAGTCTCTCCTTATTAAGCCAAGTAAAAATGTTACATTCAAAGTAAATATCTAAAAGAGAGAGCCTTGGGTTCCTCACTTTTCACAAATGAAGCAGCTCTAGGAAGAGACAGAAAATGGAACAAGAACAAAATGAATGCACAAATAAATAGCTCAATCTACATAAAAAGTAAACGAAAACATTGTTCTAAACAAAGAGTGCAACCCCTCCAAGCAATGCTAAGAAGGACATGCTGTATTCACGTGTAGAAGCAGCAAAATTTGGTGGTGGCGGCCCTGGCGCCATCGGCTCGTCAGGAGAAGCTGCCGAAGGTGCTGAACTAATTGATGGTCCTGGTGCCGAAGGAGCCATTGTGGTAGTTGGAGGGCTGGCCATGGTCGGTGTGGGCGACGAAGTCGGCGTCATAGCCGGGGAAGGAGTCATAGCCGAGGGAGGCGTCATGCTGGTGGGTGGTGATGACATTGGAGTCATGGTGGTGGGGGGTGGTGATGACATTGGAGTCATGGTGGTGGTGGGTGATGGAGTGGAGCTTGAACTCGGTGGCATTACTGGCGGCATCGATGGACTCTGAGCCATCGAACATAATAAAGAAGCAAGCACCAAAGTTAGCATGAGCATTATGGCACCGGAACCAGCCATGGTGGTGAATGTGTGAGCCGAGGAATGAAGGCTGAAAATGGTGAGTTTTGGAGGTCCTGAAGTTGATATATAGATAAAGGCAAAGAGATACTAAAGTTTTGAGGACCATTTCATGCTATTGGAAACAACAATTGACGCGTGTCCCCACAGGAATTTTATTTTTAATTTTGTGGTCTACATTTATATGCATGCACGGAACAATATGGAGATATTTTCTATGATTTTAGAGCATTTATGCACAATTTTAATTAATATGGATTTTAGAACATTTACGATAGATATAAATTTGAAATATGTTTAAATTTATTAATGGTTATCAATTTTATTTTATGTTTGATTTTGAATTTTTTTATTTAAAAATATTTTATTATTGTTAATATTTTTTAGAAAAAATGGTTAAAAGCTCTCAATTGACAACTCCTTTCTCTCTTAGGTTGTGGGTTTTATAATTATTAAGAGTAAATTTCTTCTTCTTCGTGTAGGAATTGTTCAAACAAAAACCTCATATTAATTTGGGTAAACTATACACATTTAAAACCTCAATAATCACTTTGGTCATCTAATTATTTTTTTCAAAATCATACGTTATGTTTTGATTTCATTTTAATCATTGACTGCTAAATATTTAATAGAATTATTGGCGTGATATTTTTTAAATTTTTTCAATGATGACGTGGTATGGTGATACATCAACACCACTATTAATTTTTTAACGAAAGGTGACCAAAATAAAACCAAAACTAAACGTTGCAAAATTTCACAAATGATAATATTGGCACAACTGCACAAGAAACACATGGTGGTCCAATGTAGGGAACCGAAGTCAGATGTATGATATCGATCCCTACTCTTATCTCTATGGAGTGTACCTTCAATTTGTTGGGTTCCCCCCCCTTAAATCTAAATCAGTATAATCCCTGCCCATTGACATTGTATTGTTTATTTAACACTCACAAAAAAAAAACCTATAACTTGATGAAGAAAATTTGTACAAAAATGGAAAAATATGGAAGCAGACACACTGTAATTCTAAATTGAAACACATTGAGGATCACTTAAACACGTTGAAAATGAAATTGTTACTATTATTTTTCTTAAAGAAACATATATATTAGGAAAACAAATCAATCATAGTTAGAGAGAGAAAATCACGTGACAAACAAGGAAGAGGAGGACAGAGAGATTTCGATTCCAGCAGACTATAATGGCGATTGATGGTAATGTCTGCTTTGGAGCTATGGAAATAGAAAGACACAAATTAACTTATATCAGTAATTAAATGAATCGTTATTATTCCTGGAGGTCACGGTTTGAGCGCCAGAGGCTGCAGCAGGGTGATTGAGCTTTCACTGTCAAATGGTTAAGAGCATTTAGAACAAATACTACTTTGTAATCACATTAATTTAATAAAAAAAATAGAAAGCTTACCGGTATTACTATTTAAACAGTCATATGAAAATGTAAAACAATATAGTTTGAAACATCAACTAAACAACCACATTTGTTGATCACTGCATCCAACTATGCCTGCTGAAACCGAAAGGCATGAATGAGAGCATTCATAGGATGAAAAAGCTTAAAGTATTTTTCATATGTGAATTCAAGATAATATATGTTCAGAAATTCTCAATCATTTAAAATTGACGACAAACACTCTTCCATGTGTACTTAAAACATCTACCCTATAATCAAATGAATGTATGCACAAAGAAAACGGGAAACATAAAATTTAATAGAGTTTCATTATAATCGTTCTTACGATATAAATTTATAAGATGAGAACCAGTTTCATAGTGGTAATACGATCCCTAAATTTTTATGGGGAATATCTTTAATTAAAGGTTAGTATGTTCAATGATCATTTTTTTTTTCTTTAACATGTTCTCTCGTAGCTAGATACTTGATGTTGATATATTTGCTTGAACTTTCGCTATATTTATTCTTAATCATAGAGAAAACAGTTGAATTATCGTATATATCATTAATAATTTTGAATTCGAATTCACAAGTCTAATCCATGTGAGATTATCTCAAAACATGGAACAAATACGGTCGAAGTGAAACTAATAATTAAGATATGCTTAACGTTCCTTCAAGATATAGCAATAGCACTACCAACAAACATAAATACATAACTTGATACTGATTTACTTAAATTAACACTGCTAACAGAGTTTAAATTGGAGTATCCAATTACCTACAAACTATGTAGTTGTTTATACATATCCATGTAGTCATTCGTCCCTTTTAAGGTATCTCAAAGTTATCTTTGCGTCTCTCTAGTGAGTAATACTTAGATTATTCTAATATCTTTCCAACATTGAAATTGCAAATGCAATGTTATGTCTTGTGCATTATTGTTTATTTCATTTCTAAAATGCATTTTATATATATATATATATATATATATATAACCTTCAAATCTTTCTCGAACTCTAAAGGCTCCGACTTTAGTGGCGGTATTATGATGACTCCGGTTACCACACCCGACAGAGAGGGGGAAAAAAGGGAAAACCAAAGAAGAAACCTCGGATTTTGACCGATTCAGTTGCAGTTTGCACCACATGTTAGTTCCGCGCATTGATATTGACTGAATTCCTCTCTCTTCAAAACAAAACAAAACAAAACAAAACTAGAAACCCCTGTTGGATAATTGGTTTTTCTATGTTTTTGGGGTTCTGTTTGAAGCTTTATCATTCATCTCTCTCTCTCTCTCTCTCTCTCTCTCTTAAATTTTGATTATTTTTTTTTCTGTTTTTTCCAAGAGGGTGAAGATCTAGTGTTGGCGGTGGAGTTTGGTGGACCCAGTCATGAGTGCAGATGGGAATAATCAGTTGATAACTGTTCAACCCAATGGCCTCAAGTTCGTTTGTATGTTCCACCCTATCTATGTTTATATTTGATGCAATGCACTTCTTATGTATCATGAAACTGTAAATGTGAAGTGAAAATATAAGGAACGACAACCTCTAAAAAACGACGGATTCATGTAAAAGTTCCTGATTCAATCCTATATATTTATTTGATCAACTTGTAAATGGAAAAATATAGGTGCCAAAGATCAATTTTGGTTTAATTTCAATTGATAATTGGTAGGGATGCAATGCATTGGAGATGGATTTAAATTTGTGGAGATTCTAGCGACTTATTGTTGGATATATGAACTGCAAAACTACACCGTTAGCACTGACTGGAAATATAAACAGTATTTAAAATGAACAAATTCGTAAACCGCGTCGTGGTAAAAACCATTGCCTTAGAAACGAATTCGCCCCGATGTGTGTAATCGCTGCAGTAGGCGGACCGTCCCCTGAGGTTAACACGGTAACTCCGAATTCCGTGCACTCGAAACCGGAGTGGACTGCTGGTGGTATTGCTCTTTTGATTGGAGAGCACTCAGAGAGAACTCACAGAGAGAACTGTAGAAAACACTTTTGTAAGTGAATTGTGAATGTTTGAGAGTGAGTTGAGAAGCTGAATATAACCCTCTATTTATAGGCTAGAAATAGGGTTAATATCGTCCATAAAATTTCAGGATTAAATCTCTTCTTTTGTAACAGCTGAAACGTCTAGATGAACCTGACTCAAAAATAGTCCAGGTTCATTGCATCATTATTCAGCTGTTATAACTCCAGAAATTATATCATGTAACCCCTGGAATTAAATCAAATAACTCCTGATATTAACAGCTTGTCTTCTCTGTACAAAGCTGGAAATCAGTCCAGATACATCTTAACGTTTTTGATTTAATTTAGGAAAAAGCTGTTTAATTTCTGATAACTCATAAATCATTTGTTATCCTTTGAAATTTAAACAGTCCTCAACAGCCTATAAATATCAGTTGAAATCTTTCACATTTTCCATTTGTTTCTTTCAAAGAGAAATTCCTCAAGAATTTTCTCTAAAAAGATAGTATCCGCGCGGACGTGTCAAAAACACGTATTACCACGACCACGAGCCGAGTCGTGCCGAGACGAGACGGACGGCGGCGGCAGCGGTGCGCGAGAGTCCCTCTTGTTCTCTATCACTCAACAAGGAAGTGGGAAAGTCAAGCCTTAAATACCATTCCCAATAGTGTTTCCAATACTATGTGGGATTGAGAATTACCAACATTCCCCCACTAGTGAGCGTATCTGGAACTAGTACATAGTGATGATGAGCAATCCTTCTCTTAGATAAGTGAAACTAATCTGGAACTTTCTAAGATCAGGGAAAACTCATAACACACAACTAACCGCTTCATCCACCTGAGTCCCCGATGTGTAAGATATATATATACAAAGTATATATTTGGCCATCTTACCTCAGGATTCTAGTAAGTGTGCTAGAAAAATAGCCCAACATTTTTCATAGAAGGCGGCTAACCCTTCTCACTTACATAGGTTATTTCATCAAGTTTATCTCAACATAAACAACCCTTTAAAAAGGGATATGAAATAATTAAGAGCTTTTATAATAGCTCAACCTCACAAAGGGTATGGTGACTTTCTTCAAGTCCTTCTCACTCAAACCATCCAAATACTTGGATTTGAATTTATTAAGAGTTTAACAAACTCAACCTTTATGTAGGTAAGTTCATCATTTCATACCCACTCACTCTGGGTTATGAACTTATTAAGAATAGATATTCAGCCAAAATCGGTAAATTCATCAAGTCTTTCTCACTAAGACCACCCAAAGCCTGGGCTATGAATTTATTAAGAACAATTAAGCTCATCCTGGGCATGCACATTATTCATCATAGGGATAGGCAGTAGGAATGTGCACTATGAGTCTTTCCATGGTTTCGTTTGACCACATGGAACTTAGATGACTAAGTTGGGTATCCACCATGAATTCCTTAATCAATGGGCTTTAGACCAATCCCCCTCGACGAATCTAGGACCAGCTTCCGACTTAACCCTTTGGTAAGTAGATCTGCTAGGTTCCTTTCCGACTTCACATACTCTAAAGAGAGCACTCCATTCTTTATTAAGTGTCTCACTGACTCATGTCTTATACGAATGTCTTTTCTTACCATTGTAAGCTTGGTTCTTAGCCACACAT